AAAAAAAAAAAAAAAAAAAAAAAAAAAAAAAAAAAACATGGAAATGAGTCTGGCGAGGGGAAGTGATTTCTAATGAGAGGATTTGGGGTCATATGCTGCTTGCTTATGACTGAGAGCCTTTCCCGGGCAGAAATTACTGTCCCTTCTGTTTGGAACCATGCCTGTCCCACTGTACAAGCGGGGGCTTCCTCAGGCCACTCTCAGGCAGGTTTGGGAACCTGACAGGGTGGTGCCATGACACAAGGGACTCATCTAAATGTCAGACTAGGAAGAAACACTGCTGTCAGCTTAGGTGCATTGTGGTGGGGCCCAAATCAGACCTCACTGGGGAAAGGAAGCAAAGATGTACGTGTGGTGGGTTGGGTTTTTTTTGTTTTTTTTAACTGTGATTAATACTGGGAAACCCAATGAGGGGACACCCCGACACTGCAGAGAGAGGAATTTCAGGTCTTAACACCAGAGGAAGCCCCAAGTAAAACCCCATGACCCTGTGAACAAAGTGACAGCACGTTTCTCTTGCAGTTGGGGAAATGTGAATGACCTTTCAGTTTTGCAGGATGTTTACATTAGAGGACAACCAGAAGCTAAATGGGCACAGCCCCGGTGTGGGGGGGTTAGTGTGGGTATGAATGTATGTGATTGTGAGTGTGTGTGAGTGTGTATGTGAGTGATGTGTGTGCATGTGCGTGAATACAAAGGGTATGTGTAAATATGTGTGTGAAGGTGTGTGAGACTAATATGTGTGAGGGATGTGAGTGTTAAGTGTATGTATGTGAATGTCTTAGTCCATTCGGGCGGCTATAACAAAACACCACAGGCTGGGTGGCTTATAAACAACAGAAATCTGTTTTGTGAAGTTTTGGAGGCCGGAAGCCCAAGATAAGGGTGCCCGTGTGTTCTGGTGAAGGGCCTCTTCTGGGCTGCAGACTTCTTGTTGCAACCTCACATGGAGAAAGGGGCAAGGGAGCTCTTTTATAAGAACACTAATCCCATTCATGAGGGCCCCACCCTTATGATCTAATCACACCCCCCCCCAAAGATCCCACCTCCTAACACCATCGCATCGGGCATTAGGATTCCAACATGTGAATCTTGGGGACACAAATATTCAGACAATAGCAGTGAGTGAGTGTGAGTGTGCAGAAGGTGTGTATGTGGGTATATGTGGGTACCAGTGTGGATGTGAATGTGTGTAAATATCAGAGTGTGTCCGCATGAATGTGAGTGTGTGAGTGTATGAGAGTGAAAGTGACCTTTGCTTTGTTGTACTGGTCCCCACATAATTATTCATTTCCCTACCCTTGCTTTATCCTGATAGCCCCATGTCCTCAAAAATATCCTGTACTATTTTTTACTATAGTTATTTTTAAGAGGAAAAATACTTTCTATGTTGAAGCCAAAAAGTACAACCTAACCTATGAAATACAATAAAAAAGACTTGGGTATTGTTAAAACAACAAATGCACCAACAAGTAGGAACTGTTGTGCTATCACAAACAACCCGTTTCTGTGAGAGCCTTTCACAGGGGGCCTGTAGCAAGCCAGTCCCTGAGGTTCCCTCTGTCATCTCCTTCTGTGCAAAGTTTCATACTGTTTCCTTTGCTTTGATTAGCATTTCAATCCATGAGTTCAGTATACTTTCCTTCCAGTTAATACCATATGTATCCTTTAAGAAGAAAATCACCTTGGATAGATAGATAGATTAGATGATAGATAGATAGATAGATAGATAGATAGATAGATAGATAGATAGATAGATAGATAATGTGTGAAAAGATATGACAATGGGTAAAGCCACAGTAACCTTTCCAGTTTCCTCTGTTAATTTCTTCAGCGTCCTGTCACTGTCTTGATCATAGCAAATCCCAAACTTTCTGAAACTATGGTTGAGGTCATGGGTCTGGAAGAGAAATATCTGTGTAAATGAAGCTGGATTTGTCCATTCATTCATTCAAGCAAATAAATATATTAAAGCCACTCGTTAGTATGCCAGGGATATAGACGTGAACAAGACAAACCCAGTCCTCACATCCTTGAACTCACAGCACAGCAGGGGGACAGGAGCAGGAGTGGGGATGATGGGGGCACTCATAGCCACATTAAAAAGTAATAGTGATAAACAGGTGCAATTATTCTGAAAAGATATTTTATTTCACCCAAATATATTTGGAATGGTTCCATTTCAACCTGTAATGGGGATTTTTAAATTATTAATGAGTTGTTTTCCATTCTTTTCTCCTACTAAGTCTGTGAAAACTGGGGTGTCTACTAAGCATCAGCCCAGCACAGTGGCTGAGAGTTCTCCCTCCAGATAGCAGCACATCTCAGTTCAGAG